TTAGAACAGAGTCTCGCCCTGTCGCCCAGGCTGGAGTGCAATGGCGCAATCTTGACTCTCTGCAACCTCTGCCTCCTGGGTTCAAGTGATTCTTCTGCCTCAGCCTCCCCAGTAGCTGGGATTACAGGCATGTGACAGTTAATTTTTTGTATTTTTAATAGAAATGGGGTTTCATCATATTGGCCAAGCTGGTCTTGAACTCCTGCCCTCAAGTGATCTACCCGCCTTGGCCTCCCAAAGTGCTGGGATGACAGGTGTGAGCCACCGCGCCTGGCCTGCATTTATCAAATTCTAAATCACCTGGCCCATTGCCTAACATGTCCTGGTCATCCTGAGGGGCCACCAGCCGTGCTGACCACACAGAAGGAAAGTCAGAGGACAGGTGGCTGTCACAGCAATGGTGAAAAGCCAGCAATGGATGCGGGGTCTCCACTCCTCCCCAGCCAGGGTCGGGGGTCTCCAGGGTAAAGGGCTTCTTACCACCTCCACAGCCCCCAGCTTCCTGGGCCCCCTCTGTGGGCTCTGCTCCCTCCACCCGTGCCCCGTGGAGATCCCATCCAGGGGAGGCCTGCGCCTGGACACCTTGCCCTGAGATGTAGTGGGAATGTTCGTCCACTTCTTTTTTGTTTGTTTTTGAGACGGACTCTTGCTCTGCCACCAGGCTGGAGTGCAGTGGTGTGATCTCATCACTGCAACCTCTGCCTCCCGGGTTCAAGCGACGCTTCTGCCTCAGCCTCCGGAGTAGCTGGGACTGCAGGCGCACACCACTACGCCCAGCTAATTTTTGTATTTTCAGTAGAGACAGGATTTTACCACCTTGGCCAGGATGGTCTTGATCTCCTGACTTCATGATCTGCCCACCTCAGCCTCACAAAGTGCTGGGATTACAGGCGTGAGCCACCGTGCCTGGCCTTTTCATCTGCTTCTTACCATATGGCACTTGTGAAGCCCCTCCCCAGGGTGTCATCCATGGAGTCCCCAGGATTTGTGTCCCCTGTTTGTGCAGATATACACAGGAACACCCAAGGGAGCCCCCAAGGGCTGTGTCCCCCTCTGGGTGCAGGCCTTGGGCATCTGCATTTAACAAGCCCCGCTTTCTATTCCCACCGTGATTTAAGGTGGGAAGTCTGAGGCCACCCTTTGAGAAGCCCTGGGTTAGACAGTCTTTGACGCTCAGGGAGCACCACAGCCCAGATTTGAACCCGAAGCCCTGTGTCGGGCCAAGGACATTTACCTGTGGGATAAGCTCCCATCTGGCAGGGAGGGGTCCCAGCAGCAGGCCCATCCGCCCGGGCAGGAGGAGCGTCGTCTGCAACACAGCAGATTCCCAGGATTAGGGGAGACCAGGTAAACGCCTGGCTCCTCTGAAGGCGCCAAACGCCCCAGGTCTCTCTGCAGGAAAAGAGGTGAGTTCTGTCCCACACAAGCCGCCCTTCCCACAGCTACCTTCCTCCAGGCTCCTCACAGCCCAGCAAGGAGGGAAGCTGCCTCCATGTCCCGCCGTGCTATGACCAGCTGCCCCACACTCCGTGGCTTAGGACAACAACATCAATGGAATGATCCTGCCGCTCTGGAGTTCCAGTGGGCCCCACAGAGCTAAAGTGACTGTGTGGGCGGGACTCCGCTCCTTTCAGGGCCTCTGGGGAGAAGCCACTCCTCGCCTTCAAGAGGCTGCACGCATCCCTTGGCTTGTGGCCCCAACTTCTACTTCTGTTGTGTCAGCACGTCTCCCTCCTGCCTTCCTCCTGCAAAGGCCCTGCGATTGCACGGAGGGCCTGCCCGGAGCACCTGGGAGCACCCGGGAGCATCGCCTCTCCATCTCCAGGCTTTGCCTTCCATCACATCTGCAAAGTCCCTTTTGCTGGATGACGTAATGCAGACAAAGGTCCGGGGTTAAGGATGGGCGCATCTTTGGGGGACTTTATTTTGCCACCCACTGACGGGCTCAGACTCATGGCTTGTGCGGGTGGGAAGCAGGACCTGGACCCCCCTGTCTGCTGGGTTCCCCGCTGGGGTCGCCCCTCTGGCCATTGGTCCTGCAGAGTTTGCATCTTGGCCCGGGGACTTTCTCTCGGCCCTGTGAGGTTTCTTCATCCAGAGGCCTCGGGATCCAGGGGAATGTGACTGGGAAAACTCTTGGACTTGCATCACGATGGTGCCATTTCACACCAGGGTTTGCTGACGGGCTGCAGTGGTGTTCACTTGCCCTGTGTGGCCAGAACCCATTCTTAGGCCTCATTGGCTTTGCAGCCCCCACCCAAGCCCAGAGCCAGGCACACAGTGGGGCTCAGAAATGTCCCTACTGGGTCCGGTGCGGCGGCCACGCCTGTAATGTCAGCACCAGGGAGGCTGAGCGGGCGGATCACTTGAAGTCAGGAGTTTAAGAGCAGCTTGGCCAAGATGGAAAACCCCATCTCTACTAAAAATACAAAATTTAGCCAGATGTGGTGGCAGGTGCCTGTAATTCCAGCTACTCGGGGGGCTGAGGCAGGAGAATCACCTGAATCTGGAAGGCAGAGGTTGCAGTGAGCCAAGATTGCACCACTGCACCCCAGCTTGGGCAACAGAGCAAGAAGGAAGGAAGGAGGGAAAAAGGGAAGGAGGGAGGGAGGAAAAGAAGGAAAGAAGAAAGAAAAAAAGAAAGAGCAAGAAAGAGAAGGCGGAGGGAAGGGAAAGGGAGGGGAAGGGAGAAGGGGGAGGGGGGGAGGGGAGGGGAGGGGGGGGGGGGGGGAGGGGAGGAGGGGGGGAGGAGAAGGGGAGGAATGTCTCGAAAGGAAAGAGGTGTGTGTGCTCAGATCTTGGTCCCGCTGGCCTGGCCAGTGCACCTGGCAGTGGTAAGTGAAGCACACCCCGCGGCTACCCCACGGGCTGAGAAGAATGTGTGCTTGGACTTCTGAGCCAGAGAGCCCAGCAGTGGCCAGCCTGGAGATTCGCTCCCTATCTGAGGAAGATCTGAGCCCCTGGCTTATCCTGTGGAATGCAGGACACACAGACGGGCGCTCTGTTTGGAAGGGTTGGACCGGGGTTGCCAGGTGGAGGATGCTAGAGGGAGGGTGTGAGGGAAGATGCTCCATCAAAGGCATGCTTTTCACGGGGGTGCCCTCCCCCCGCTGCCACGGAACCACCCGGTGTGTGAGTCTTCTCCATCAACCCTCTGTCACGGCTGCTGGCTCTGCGTCTCCTCCTCGGCCTCTCCAACAAGGTGCCACCCCTGTTGAAGTTGACAGGGGTCCGGACCGACAGATTCTAAACCCCATCCTCCAGTTCAGAAGCCAGGGCCGTGCCAGGGAAAGTACCAGCTGAGCCTGGAACGCCTCATGTCCCGGAAAGTGATAAGGAGCCCACTGAGTGAGGAAGACACGTGGAAAACCCACATCCAGGTGATTTGAGCGACAAAATAAGTAATGACCTATGCAGTCCGGAGCCTCAGTTAAAGATGTGTGAGCCAGCCGGGGATGGTGGCTCACACCTGTAATCCAAGCACTTTGGAGGCCAAGGCAGGCGGATCACCTGAGATCGGGAGTTCAAGACCAGCCTGACCAACATGGTGAAACCCCGTCTTTAATTAAAAAAAAAAAAAAAAAAAAAAAGATGTGTGAGCCTACGCTGAAATAAATCAGTGAATAACTGGGTAGGCTCTTCCTTATAGTAGAGGGCCGGCTGCTGAGTGGAGACCGGAGCCCTCAGCCGACAGTCACCGCCCCGCAGCCTCCATCCCAAGGATTATTTCAACCAGGCTCACCCATGATGAGACGGTCGTGCTTCATGAGTGTGATGAGGAAGAGGATATTCATGCAGTTTCAGAGTGTCACCCCCCCCGCTACTTACTAACTACAGAGGGAAGAAAAGTGACCACACAGCTGCCCCTCACCAACGACCAAAATGGGCGTCACCAGCCAGAGACAGACACCATCTGCAGTGAGGAAACGTCATTCTGAGGGATTCCTGCCCCAAATCCCTGATGTGACCCTGAAGAAATACTAGCTGCACTCAAATCGAGGGACAGCCTACAAAAGAAACGGACTGCATTCTTCAAAACAGCAGCCTCCGGATTGAAAGGCACCTCAGAGAGGTTGAAGCAACACAAGGTGTGACCCAGGAAGTTTTTTTTTT